GCCTGTGGAGAGGCTCACAGCCTGTGGAGAGGCTGCGTGACGCGTGACCGAAACTAAACATGGCTGCGAGGACTGTCGGCTGCGAGGAGACTATTGCACTGAAGCTAACAATAGGAACAATGTTAACGTTTTAAGCTTTAACTTTTAAGCAATGCAGACTTGGCTAACAAAATAGAGGCAAGAAGGCACTGAGAGAATAATTAAGCGTCTTGCCTCCTAAGTAAACTAGTGTGCTGCTAGACTTGCCACAAGTCGACCACACTGTTGGGACACTGATAATTCGAGCGACGTAGTCGCGAGTGGTCGACTCCGTTTTCCGGGAGATAAGCGAACCAGGAAAAACGGACTTTGAGAAAGTCTAGTGTGCTGCCTCAATCTGGGAATCGAACACACGGGGCCATCCCGCCTCGAAAAGCTCGGGTTCCAATGAACCACAACAACAAATAACATACAAAAATTGTAGTCTATTAGGCACGMGGTGTCCCTTGGTTTTGAAACTCGCAAAAGAGCGTTTGCTTACATTAATATAAATAAAGATTAAAATATATCCAAGACACAAGAAAAAATAAATAAATAAATAAAACGTTGAGTCTTTTCAATAGCTGAAAATTTCAGTTTAAAAACGCYGCGGAAATTCAAAATTGAGATCAATGTACAATGCAATGTAGTTGGTTTTTAGCCGTCTCGGTGATGCGGCAAACTAGAATATAAACAAGAAAATAAACACATCCTGGCTCAGCAACCTGTATTTAAAACTTCAGAGGTCTAAAGTTATATTTTACAAAACCGTGTTTGCCTTTGCACTCTATTAAGACTATAGAACTGAACTGCAAAGTTATCGAGAAAACAGAACGTGGTGCAGCGATCCAGACGATTTTGCTCAAATAAAGATCGACCAAATATTAGAAGAAGAAAAATAAAGAGCGGAAAAGAAAATATCTATTGGGTTGGGGTTTTTATCGGCTGTTCCATGCATGTTAAATATTTTTGTTTTGGATTGTATGGCAKCTCTRTGTGTAAGTTTTCCTCAGCGYTTTCTCCAACTCAATCATAAGATTCAATAGCTGTATGATAATTAGTGACAAAAAAGAYACGAGAAAAAATTAAAGKGTGCGCTATCKGAAAATTGCTGCTTAAAA